TCCCTGCTTTTCTGCCTCCACCATAAAAAGGTAACTTCTGCAGTCCAGGTATCTCAGTGGTGGCCTTAGCTACTGCAAAGTCAAACTAGTTCCTTAGCAAATTTTAATTAAATAATAAAAGCAAGGACTAGTGGGAAAAGGGCTCAGAGATATGGAAAGCAGAGGTGTAATTGTACTTTTGGCTTTCTATCTCCAAACCTACCAGGAACAGTAACATTTAATACTTTCCTGTGGTGCTTTTAAAAAGGCAAAACAAACCAACGCCTTTATTCTTTTCTTCACCCACCTTCTGCTCCAGTTATAAATTGAAGCCTTCTCTGAAAGGGTCTGGCTGGGTGGCTTTCAGAAGGTTTTGGGTCATGGCTTAATGGCAAATGTTTTAAGTTGTCTAAACTTGAAATCTTTTGTGAAAGGTGTGTGTGCTACCTGCTGTAGATAATCTCTTCCATTTGATGGCACTTTGAGGTGTGCTTTTTCCCATTAGAACTTGTGGAAGGTTTGAGGATCGCAGTCAGTGGGAGAGCTTCCCCTGGCCTCGAGTTGCGGTTCCTGCCTACCCACACCTGCTCTCTGCTCCAGCACCTTATGCCTTGCATTCCCTGCAAAATGTAGTAATTAACTAATGTGTGAACTGAGCGTTTTGTTTTCCTGCCTCAGAAATGTTAAGGATACAAATGTGACCTTAATGCTACCTTTCAGGGCCATAATTTGAGCCCCTCTAAAAGGTGGTCTCCAAGCTAGACCATCTGCAGATACAAGATCCTAAATTAGGGAAATCCACAGCCTGATTATTCTGAGAGGTGTTCCTTAATTGCATTCTCAGCATGTTTTAAGTAAACAGTGTTGGAAGGAACGAAGCCATGAGGTACAGCTATGGTGAGACAGCATCGGGAGGAAGGAAGTCCTGCAGGCAGGCGGCAGGGAGCTAGAGCTCTCCCATGCGCATTACCAACGTCATGGGCTGCAGCTGCCGCAGCTCCCAGGAGCAGCAAACCCCTGTCCACCCTCAGCAAAGCAGCGAGCACTCAGCACTGGAGTTTCCAGTTTGTGGCTCTACAGATGAGTGGTGGGTTAGTTAGCACAGTCTTCCCCTGCCCACATGCTGCTCTAGAAGCGTACTTACTGTAAGGGTTTGGGGGTAATTATTTATATTATAGGGACTCCATACAGCTTTCAAATGTATTTTTTATTTTCAGTCAAAAGCAAAATAGAGTATTTGACGGTTAGACCCTGCAACTTTTCTCAGCTGCTTCAGGGCCCTGTTCCAAGAGCTCAGTGCATGGGAATGGCTCTGATGATGCTAACTTGCTCAACAAAAGTCTGCATTAGAGGGTTCAAATAATGACCTGCACCCAGCTAACTTTTCTTTTTAGTAGCTGCATGTGTCACCTTCTGAGAACCAAGCTCACTGTTTTTAAGCACTTAAGTAGTGGTGCTGGAATTCTTAGCTGTTACGGTGTTTTTTTGTTTTTTAAAGAAGAGGTTACGTTCTGCATATATATATATATGAAACTTCAGAGTCAACACTGTGATTTTTGCGATGCGTGATCACTTCTAGGTGTCTGATTTGTGGTGGTGTTGGATTGTACATTTCTGAAAATGCAGTTCTGCTTTTTATAGGCGTACAACTGGAGAGTTGTTTTTACATTTTTTTGACTAATAAACATCACAGTGTTAGCAGGTGATTTGTTTAGAAACAGAACAAACTGTCTGCTTTTTCTGAACTGTAGAGCTGTCTCTTTCTAGATGCTTAAATTTAACACCACCTCCACCCAAAAACCCCAGATTGTCCGTTGAAAATAAGCTGCTTGGTGCATATCAGTCATTCTGTGAAATCTCCTGAGATTCAGGTAGAAAAGATGAGGAATTAATTTGTAGTGAACTTTTTTATGCCTCAATGTAGCCCTGACCAGGATAATTGCATATTACTTTCTTTTGTGTTGCACAAACATCTGCCCTTTATTTATCCCTTCTGTTAAGAGAATTTTAATACAGAGCTACATCTGGAAGTGCTGTTCCAAAGTAAGAATTCACAGCATTTCTTGAAATGACTGAAGTAACAATCAGCTTTAATAGAAAAATGTCCACTTGCCCTGGGTCTTTTCTTTGGGCTAGCAAGTAAGTAATTTATGCAATTCTTAGTTAAAAAAACCAAACCCGAAACCCCACAGAAAAGTGCTTGGGTAACTAAGCCTTAGCCCTTGATCATAATCGTTGGGTGTGCAGTTCAAATGGGGTGGTAGTTACAACATATAAGTGCAGGCAGTGTATCTGGTAAGTGCTGTGGCCTTCTGGCACCTGGCTTTGTGACCTGGGGATGCATAGGCTTGGGTGGATGTGGGAGTCCACCTTGAAGTAGGTCTGTCTTGTGTGACCTACTTCCCCCAGATGCGTCTTTTCCACAGACTTGCTCTCTGGGGCACTGTGCTCCAATTTCACTACACAGAGCGGTGGCTGTTTTGGGGGCTGGAGGGCTTGGGCATGGAGAAAAGCTACGCCCTGCTAAGGCTTGTGTTTGTAGTGGTCATGTCTGAAAAGTGGATTTGTGCTTGGCATGCAGGAAACCAATTCTGTGCACTCAGGAAAAATACTGAGTTTATTCAGGCCTAGGTGCTTGGTTTGTGGACAATCCACTGAGTACCCGGGGCTGAATAAATACGTCTCCTGAGTGTGTGAAATTGGTTTACTGCACTCTGGGCACAAATCTGTTTCTCGAATAACAGTCAGAGGTACATGGCACAGGTGTGAGTTTACAAGTGCTGCATACTAGGACTCAAAAAAATACAGGCACATAAAATTTGGTTTGAATTCTGTTGGTGTGTGTTCTGCATGGTGACTGGAGTTTTACTTTTGGTCTGGTTTTGCATTTGTCATAAGGCTTAAATGTCTGTTCCCTTGAGCAGCACAGTAGAAGAGGTCAGCTCACCCACTGCAGGCCTTGGTAGTTTTGCTCTTCAGTTGAGTAGCAGGCAGATATTCTTGGCTTAGTGTCTCAGTTGATGTCTGAAAGAAATATTTGTACATATGCACACACATACGTACATCTTGGGACGTGTCTGCATGCTGGCAATGTGTGAATGGAGTGCGTATTCATTGGAGGAAAAGCACCCTCATTCCTCTCAAGAGGCAAATAATTGAGAGCCAGAAAATTGGCTTGCTGCTTCTATGGTTTGACATTTGCCAAAACAACCTTAGCCCTTTTCTTTAGGCCAGAACAAAACCATGTAGGAACACTTTTATAGCCATTTTTTCTCTCAGAAGTACCTTACTTCAGAAGTAAGTCTTCCTTTAAATGTCTCTTGCCAGGGTTTCCCTCTCTGTGTTTGCCCCTTCATGGTGAGCTCTGACTTTTGGTGTCAGTGCCCCATTGCCTCACCTCTTCAAGGCTGTCCTTCATTACTTTTCTGAAGAGATTCAATTGTAGGGACATCACCTGCTCCTTGCTTGAGAAGATAAGCTGCCTGGCCACTCTGTGAGCAATGCCATTCCCTGTGAGGAGGAGGGCAAAAGAGGTCCAGTGTTGGCATCCCTGGGATGCCACAGGACACAAGGCAGCATGAGTGCAGCTTCAGGGAATGGGCAACCTGATGCACTTTGTCTGAACTTGGAGTTGGTGCCTCCTGCTTGAGATATAGAAACGTGTGTTGGTTTTTTTTTTTGGTATGGTTTCTCTTGTTAGCAGACAGGGAGAAAAGCCAGCATGAAGATTAGTCTTTCGGGTGTTCTGCATTGTCCTCAAAAATATATAGTATCCATACTTCTGTTGTTAGCTGACTGCATCTAATCACAACAGTGGTGATGCTACCATCTCATTGCTTTTGGGATAAGAGAAAAGCATTCTCCCCTCTTCCTTTCACTCCTCCCACCCCACGTCATTTAGTGTCTCTTGCTCGGCTGTTGAAGTGTATTTACAGGAAACCTCTGTTTGTGATGTGTGTGCACCTACACACCAGCCTTGTTAAACAGATGTGCTTGCTGTACCATTGTTTTTTTATATTTTTTGAGGAGGACAGTTGGGATAGTATTGAAGCAGTAACCTTTATGCTTGTGGGTCTGTAATTCCTAATCACTCTGAAAAAAGTATTCTCTTTCTGAGGGTGCTATGCTTGACTCTAGCTTTTCTGATGTTTACTTGTAAGTGTAGTTTCCACTAAGCCTGAGGAAAGAAGAAAAATCACACCTCCTTAATTTGCAGGTTGGTCTAAAGTTAGTGTTCAGAGATGATTGTCAGCTTGGGTAGGAGCAAGGAAATTCAGCAGATCCTGTTCAACAGCACACACACATAAAAAATACTCCCAAAATATGGGTGGTTAGGAGAAACAGAGATTGGATGAACACCCAGTAGATAAAAGTGTACTGTATCACATTGTGGTTCTGCAAGTAGTGATTTTCCAAAGACGTGCTGTTTTTTAAAAACATCTGTGTTAGATCAGAAATAAATGGAGGTTTTTGGGAGTATTTGACCTTGGTTATCTGGCAGGTACACCTTTAGAGGTTAGGGGGATTTCGTTTTTTTTTTCTTGGCTTTTGTTTTTGTTTCTGGTTTTTTGTTTGTTTGTTTTTGTTGTTTTTTTTTTAATGTAGCAGTTGGATGCATATTTTGGAAACAGATGAAGGAGGTTTGGAAGAAGTAATGTAAGAAAATCTTAAGTTCTGTGTGGTCAGTTGGATTGAGAGGCTCTGCGTGGTATGCTTTAACTGTTTCTTTTGCTCATAAAACAGATAACCCTTTTTTGCTTTTTGAAGAAATGTTACGATAAAGGAAAATGTTGATTTGAGTATCAGCAGTGTGAAAACTTAGATTTCCCTCTTTGGTTTCTTGATTATATTTCATTTGAAAACACTACAAATAAAGCAAATGTGTGCATCTGTCAGTCCTAAAGAACAAACACCAACTTCTGTCTTCATCCCCCTGAACATTGGTTGCTGCAAGCTCATTAATAAGCCTATTTGCTGTGTGGGTGATGTGTTTTTCTGTCCTTGTTTTTTGCACTGAACAGGTAGCCCCAAACGATGAAGCTGTGGTAACGCTGCTTTGCGAATGGGCTGTGAGCTGTAAAAGGTCTGGTAAGCACAGGGCCATGGCTGTAGCCAAGCTCCTGGAGAAGAGGCAAGCAGAAATTGAAGCAGAAGTAAGTTATTTCCACTTCTAGCACAGTGTGAACAGTATGCTTTAAAAGTGAGATATTTCTAAGGAAACAACACTTTAATTTCTACCCATTATGAGTCAAGTAAGTTTGATGGTATTTGGAGCACTGGGGATTTTTGTCAATTTACAGTTTTTAAAATCTAGATAAAATGAAAAAGCCTTCTATTTAAAGTAAAAAGAAATCGCAGCCTACTTCAGAATTGTCTGTGTTAGCTGATTTATTCTTGTCTGAAGTTTACTTCTGTGAACTAGCACAAATAAAGCGATGCCACCATAACTAGAGTCCCTTAAAAAGTGGGTGTGGGTCTGGCCAATGGGGCAGGGGTGTTTCACTGATGACTCTGGGAAAGTTCCACAACAGATCTGTTTTGAGGCAAAATTCAAGTGTAACTTTAAATCTTGCAGTCTGTCTGTGGAATTCCTTTGTTTCTAGAGGGGAAATGAAATGCTTCACTGGAGAAGCAGGATGCTATAGTAACATCTTTGATGTAAACTGTTGTCTGTTGTGTGGCACATGATCCTACTTCAGCTTGCATAAGCTGACACTTCCTGAAACTTCAGTAATACTAAATCTGCTCAGCAGTGAGGATCAAACAGTGGCAGCGTTCTCACTGCAGCCTTGTTGCAGCTTTCTGGACCAGTGGTACCCCACCATAGCCAGAGCACTGCTGCCTGGGCCTCCCCTGCATCCATGCAGCGCTGGCAGGTGGTTTTTCCTGGATGGGTGTTCTGTTCAGTAGTGTGGTTGTTTCCCCCCCCTTCTTAGAAAAGAGGGTCCCCAGGACAATAGTGTGCGATGTCTATTCAGCCTGGATGTGGGCACACACAGATGAGAGCACGCTCGGGAGTGCATCTGTGCAGACAGACATACCTACAGACAACATGAGGTGAAAAAAGACTTTCACTTTCCAAAGCCTTTCTGCTTTGTCTACTCCTCACCACAACCATTAATTAGGGGGAAGGGAGCTTGCTGTATTGTTTCTGCCTCTCTTGCACTGGAATCCACTCAAAGCAGAAATGTTTCCCATGTTATATTTAGTATAACTTACAGAAACAAGGGTTACTTTTTGTATTCATGTTGGTCCTGGAAGTCCTGTGTCTTAAATTTTTGCTTTTATATGAAACCGTGTCGTTGCAGATGATGGTACATGTCTCAGACATTCCTTTTCAATAAGTAATCCAAAGTGATTAAATAAAACACCTTAGAAATAACCAAACTAGGTAATGGGAAAAACCTGTCGTTCTAGAACAAGTCTGGATTTTATGAAGAGGTAGGAAACCATCACACACATAGTTGCCTCAGATGCAAATTGTAGGAATATTGTATGCATTTGTGTGTATATACAAGCTTTTTTATTTATTTAACTGTGCAGAGATGTGGTGAATCTGAAGTCCTAGATGAAAAGGAATCTCTGTCTTCAGCCTCCTTGACAGGTTCCAGTCTTCCTGTTTTTCAGAATGTCCTGCTAAGGTTTTTAGATACACAAGCTCCCTCGTTATGTGAGTATGAACTAACTTATATTCCGAAGTAGGTCAGAAGCAACTGCTCTGCTGTGTGGCTGCTGAAGTTTCTGTTTTGATGTAGTGGGTGTTTCACAGTTTCCATGATTACCCACTCTATTTTCATATGCACGTTTTATTTTCTTAATGTCTTGCCTTGTTATACAATCTTCCTGTGATTTTTATTTCTTTCTTTTCAAAAAAAGAAAATTGGCAGATACTATGTTTATTTCTGTTTAAGCTGTAGGAGATTTTTGGAATTTACTTGCATTCTATGCATATATAACATCAAACGTTTGCCTCTTTCTGGCACATCCACATCTGAAGTGACTGACTTGGAAATTACACACAAGTGCTAAAGTTGAAAGCTGTTAGCTGACAAATAAGTGGGTTAAAAAAGGAGCTTTGTTCATCATAGCTTCCTCTATGAAATGTCTTCTTTCTAATCAAACTGCCTGATGTTGTACCTTGTGTTTTTAGTATCTTAAGTACTGCTAGTTAGTGCATTTTTGTCCTTTTTTTTATTTTTTTTATCTTCTGGGGCCCTTGAGGTAAAGGGGATTTTAAGTGATTTGAAACATGATACTGGAAACTCTCAACATCCGAAAAAGGAGAAACTTCTTAAAAATTTGTTACAGGCTCTTGAGGTACTGGCAGGGCTCTCTTTCATGCCTGTGGTGACCCTGGTTTTAATAAACCATCCAAACTATTTGTGTTATTTAGGCTTGTGTTTCTCATGTGCTTGTTTCAAATGTGCTACTGTCCTTCCCTCAGTAGTTCTTCAAGGCAGAGTAGGGTGAGCAGCTGGGGAATGTTTTCCTTGTTTGAAATCATCTTTGGTATTTTCAAGGACTGGACAAGCTTTGTGGTATTCTACTGTTTTTGTGGTGGTTGAGCTTCTGTCTCTACAAATGAAAAGCATGTGAGTGCTATATTTTGAAAGAGGGCAGGTGGCCTGTTCTGCAGGTGTGTGTTTTACAATGCTTCTCCATGCCACACACCTTACGTTTTTTTGAGAGTGTATCATGGTGGGCAGCTTTGGAGGAGTGGGACCTGTATTGCCACAGAGGAGAGTCCTGACCCTGGCCCAGTGTGCTCTTGGGCTTACTGCTGCAGCTGCTGTGCTGCACTGTGGTGAGAGTTTCTAAATAAAAATGTTATATGTTGAACTAATTCAGACTTGTAAAGTGTAATTTGCTTTTAAATAAATATTATTTGGATTTGGTAGTTCTGTAGCTGGAGGTTTTGTTGCCCAATAGAGCTGGTGTGGTATAAAGCTATTTGCTGTTAACTGCAGTGTTGAAACCCTTCTGTGGTACAGAACAAGTGAAATTAAATATAGCTGTGACAAATGAAAACTTAGTAACAAAATCTTGTATATTGTGTTTCTCTAGGTTTTGCTTTGGCACTGGCAAAATAACATGCATTTATTTTAATGAACTTTTTCCTGATGTGCATGAGTATGTTTATTAGATAAAATACACTACGCTTTCAAGCATTAATAAAATACTGCTTTTAAATCTCGGAGGCCTGGCATGCAGAAGTCTTGAGTTCTCTGAAAATATTCTTAAAGGTTTTCTGTTATGAATACAGAAGTACTATAGTTAAAACAGTTGCACTTGCTATAGTAATATAATTTGAGAGGAAAAGGTAACCGTTAGGTAGTCTGTTATAATCCAAAGCTTCAGATTCAGTTTTTCCTCACACAAGGAATGTCCTCTCCCTCTTTTTAATTTTTAGAAGTATTTGAACATTATCCCTGACTGCTGATGCACCCTCCCCCCACCCAAGATGTTTGTGGGATAGGGTGCTCTGGAATCTACTGCTGCCTGAAGTCTGCCCCCTTTCTGGAGCTGATGGCAAAGCAAAACCATGCAAGTTAGAAGGTGGTTCATTCAGTGGAGACAAAGAAACCTCTGCAGGATGCCTGAGACTTACATTTTTAGCAGGCCTTAAAATTGATTTGTAGGGATTTGCAGTTTGCATAGTTGGAACCCAAATATTTGTAAGTTGAAATTATGGTCTAACATTTTTTTTCTTTTTTTTTGGGTAGCTGACCCAAATAGTGACCATGAGAAGACAGAGTTTGTGAATTTGGTGCTGCTTTTTTCTGAATTCACTCGTCATGATGTTTTCTCCCATGATGCTTACATGTGCACTTTAATATCACGTGGAGACTTGTCAATCACTGCAACTACTAGACCACGTTCACCAAATGGGGAAACTGTGGATGAACACTATTCTAAGGATCATGATGTGAAACTGGAGGTAACAGTTCATACTCTTTCTCCCATATTTGGTACTGTTTCCTTAAACTTAGATTTTCACTGAATCATTAGTATTTCAGGTATGAGATACTAAGTTTTTTGGTCTGTGTCTCCTTGTCTCTTTCTCTCTCTTCAAGAAGAGTGATCCATTAGCTTAATTCTTACATATATCTGTAAATATTACTGTTGTGCTGCAAATACACTGTACTGAGAGTTGTCTAATGATCTGAATAACTTGGGACAAACAAAAAGGCACAATGTAGTTTTCATTTGCAAATATGTTTCAGTGCAGAGAAGGGAGAGCTTTAAGCAGAAGGAACCTGTGGGGAGCATAGAGTAAGCCCACATCCTCTGTGTAGCGTGGGGTGTGCTGACACAGTAGAGGTGTGAGTGATACACAGCCTGGTAGTCTGCTCACAGATGATCAGGAGTGACTATGTGCCACACAGCCACCGACTGAAGACTGGGAAGCCAGACCTCCTGAATTGTATGTGTGCAGTTCAGGGGCAATCCTGAGTCTTCCATCAGATGAGCAGTTTGTAAACTTTTCTAAGACTACTGCAAGAGGAGGGCAATTTCAAACTTGGGCTACAAACCACATTTGTTCTCAGGTGGTGAGGTGCAGCCTGCTGTTCTGCTGCACAGTCCATGTGGGGCCTGTAGGAAACAAAAGCATCCTTTTACATGTCTTTTTAATTTCTTTTGTATATTTCTCACATCACTGTCATGATCAAATTTGCCCTGAAATATAGGAAGTTTCTACAAGTTGCTTTTCGTGGTACAACAAAGCAGGAAGTAAATCTTGGGAGGGTACAAGAGTCAGCCTCCTGTTCTGTAGGTGTTCCTGGAGGGACAGAATTGCTCACAGGGATGTCCTGTAAAGTTTTGTTTCCCCCTTTGGCTCATGCCATATTCTATGCTTTTGTGGATTTACGTAGAGGAATACTTCTGTGACTTAAGGCTTGTCATAAAGATTTAAAAGTCAGTGTCTCAAACCTTGCCATTAGTGCTTGTTTCTTAATTCTTAAATAGGTGGAGTGCTTGAGTTCACCTGAGATCAGTTAAAAGGGTCTTCAATAAAATGTGACTGATACTTATTTTTCTCTCTGGCAATTACTAGGATCATAGTATTATGGAACATATGGGCATTGATTCAGGAGCCGCTAGTATTTTTGATGATGTAGACAAGAGTGACTTTAAGGCAGATTTTGGTTCGGAATTTCCAGTAGGTTTAACTTCTTTTTTCTGCATGCCTTTGATGCCTGTGCCTGCTGCTTGCTGTTGCCACTGAATGTCTTGCCATGCCCCTAGTACTGCCTGGTGGCTCCATTGACAACCATATCTTTCAGCATCCAGTCCCTTCTGTCTTCTGTGTTGGTGCATTGCCTCCTTTTTCTCATCTCTGCTCTATGACAACTTACTGCTCTCCTCTCCTTCCCCTAGTTGTCCACCTGCACACAAGCATGCACAATGTACTCCTTCCTTCCCTTCTTCCCTTTACCCTCAGTGTGTTCAAAGTGCTGTGTATTATTGTTAAACATGAATAAATACGCAAAGCTACCTGCTTCTGTGATATTGAGGAGCTCCATTGATACTGTTTGCTTTTCAAGTGATAGTTCTATGTTTTGGCTCTGTCTCCCCTTTCTTTTTCCTCACTGATAGCCCAATTATGCATTACTTTTGAATCTCCTAGTTTCTTCCTTTGGACTGGTCCTCGTTCTGCATCTGCATGGACTCCTGTGCCCAGACCTTTCAGCACAATCCACTTGCAGGATATTGGGACCCCTGTATCTGTCATAGCAGTGCTTTCAAGCATATCTATGCCTGCTGACAGTGTGTTGCGTCACCTTCCACTTCATCCTTTTCATTATTTTCCCTCAGTCACTGGAATAGATCATCGCTGTTTCTGTGTCACAGCAGCATGAGAGGTGTGGAGATTGCTATGAATTGTTATGCTTTTTTCCCTCAGTATCGTTAGTTTAAAACCCTTCTAATAACAATGGAGATAAGCAGAGAGATATAATGTGTATATGTATCATAAATTTCAGGCTTGATTACGATTGCCCCCTGTTTTGTCTATCCTTGAAAAACCTCTGATGTTTAAAAAGTGATTGTAAGCAAGAACAGAATTGTATCTCTGAATGCAGTTGCTTAATTTTGAAAGCTAGAGGTTACACTTACCTTAAACATTTGTTTTACATGACTTAGATTTTTTCTCCGATGCCTGGGGAGTCTTGTGAGAATGTGAACTCTTCCTTAGACAGAAGAATTTCGGTTACAAGCGAGAAATCAGTCAAGAGAGAAAGGCTGAGAGAACTCATTTTCCCATCCAATTATGACCTCCTTCGGCATTTGCAGTATGCCACACATTTCCCTATACCTCTGGTGAGTTATCTGTGTACTTGTGTGTGTAATGGTAGTGCCTAGTGTGACAGCAAAGCATTCAAAGAAAGAAAAGCTCACTGACTGGAGAGAGCTGGGATGTGTGGTCCCTGCTCAAGGGCTCCTGACCAGCTTGTGTGATGCTATTACTGCTAGTGTGCCCATGCTGTGTGTGCACTGCGGGACAGCTTCAGTGAAGCACATGCGTGTGGTTTTTTACCAAAAGGTTTGCTGGATGAGCACATAAGAGGTGTAATACCGTGTGATGACTTACTTAGGTTAAGGAGACCAGCAACACAATAAAAATGCCATGTTCTGGGATGTAATAAAAGTTTGCTGAACAGAAAAATTAATATTGTAGTTGGACTGATGGGTGAATAGCAAAACAGCTGAAAAAAAATCAGTTCTGAAATATACGGGACAGAACACTGTTATTTTCTTCCACCCACTCTGCACTGTTTCTAGCATGGATTTTTGGCTGCTGCTGTGGTGTTTGTCTGTAGGCTCATGGGAACTGAAGAAAACCCCATGAATAACATTCCAGATCCCAAACTGTCAGTCAGATGGCTTCTCATGTTTTCCACCGTGCAGGAAAGAGGGCCCACATACTGAACAAGACTTGAACTGGAATGTAGCTACTTGAGAATTATTATTGTTGTTGTTATTATTATTATCATAGTCATTATTATTTATGATTATTATTTTTAACAACAATAATAACTTTTTAACAATATTAAATTCTTTTAATATGGGAAGTGTCATGTGAGAGTACAATGTGATAACCACGGTTTTGTTTGCATTAAATTTCTTACTCCACAAAGTTTGGGTTCTGATTTATTGCATGTGAATTGTTGGTAGAATGCTGAACGAGCTATTTCTGTTCAGGAGAGTTCGGGTACTTGCTTAAAGTTTGATTTGTATTTTGCCCATTTTAAGGATTAGGAATAAGATAACTTGGTTTGGGTTTGTTCCTGAAATATTTTTGATTTATGGATGAAGCTAATCCAGGTAGCTGGATTTTACAAGTGGATTTTAAAATTTTGTTTATTCTGCATAGGCATTATTATTGAAAGTAATTGTCAATTAGAATATTAATAAACTTAGTTGCCGTTTCTTATGTTTTTGTAAAAAAACAGGGAGAGAGAATACACTGGATATTTATACTTTTTATATTAATTTTCTAAAATTTCCTTGACTTTTCTGTAGTAACATGTTGTTTGCTTTCTTCATATTCATTGAAGCAGCAGCAAGGAAAGGCAATGCAACTTGGCAATAAGAAATTTATTTATAAAAACTGCAGGTATGACATAAGCAGATACAATAACTTTCAGTCAGTGCAGCTTAAAATCACTTTCTGGAGTAAATAATGCCCTTTAAAATGCTTTTGGGTTAAGTGTATATATGAAAACTTTGCAGCTGAAGAACTGCTTTAAATTAATCTCTTCATTCGATTGCACCAAGTTAGTTAATACAGTTACTATACAATACTTAACTTAGAAAAGGTGAGCTCAGGTGTTTACCATAATTAATTACAAGGTATGTTTGAATTCTTCTGATTTCCTATGTTCCTAAGCGTTGCTGATCCCTGAAAGGGCATCATTGGCATTTTTAACTGTTTCTGAAGGGCTTTATCGAGGTTCTGTTAGTCCAGACCTGCTATGTGAATGTATAACAAAGTGGTGGATATGGTTGAAGTTTTTTCCTTCTGCTTGGGCTCATGTTTCAGCAGGAAAGTCGTTTCCCATGGTAGCTATGATTGCAATTGCACCTTGGCTGTTTGTACTGCAGATCTGAACACTCCTCTGATGTATTTTAGAATTGGTACTTTTGAATCTGCTGCTCACTTCTGTGTTGTACCTCTTTGTCTGTGAAAAAACTGTGTCTCTTTAGGTGTGGCAAAAGTTTCAGTGAATTTCAGTCTGAATGATTTGGAAAGATGGTAATACAGAATAGGGTCAAAACAGAGGTTTGATATGGCAAACAGCAAGGTAGATTCTTTAGCTTTAAAGAGAGCTTGTTTCAGAGAGCAGCTGGTATTGGTATCACTTTGGCTCAAAGTATAGGGGATACGAACAACGTGGTATGGCACAAAACATAGCAAGTAGCTTGCAGTTACCAGGAGTATGTTTATGAGGGCTTTCTTCACGTTTGCATAACTCTCACTGTATTTGTTCTGGTAGAGCTGTCGAACAACAAGGAAATTGGAAATCAGGATCACAGCTGAAAAATTCAGGAATATCGCTGTGCATATGAAATTAGTAAACACGTGCCAGTCTCTTCCAAATTTTGTTTTAAAATCAATGCATCCTGCACCAGGTTGTTCTTCAATGGTTTTTATTGGAATAGCCATGTTAGGTACTGTTATAAGGAGAACCATTGTCCATACGACTGCAGACAACATCTTGGCAAATCCAGGCTCCTGAATGCGGTATGTCTTACAACTGTGCATTAGCTGAAGACAGCGGTCCATGCTCACAAATCCCAGAAATATAATAGATAAGTACATGTTCAGGTAGATGAAACAGGCTGTAACTTGACAGTGGAATATTCTCAGTTTCCAGGACGCAACTCCTAGGTCAACAATAATCTTTACTGGCAATGCCAAAGTCAACAAAAAATCTGCTGTTAAGAGGTTAATTAAGTAGATGCTCATACACTTCTGTTTCTGATCTCTTTGTGTGAATGCCCACAGTGCAAAACAGCTTCCAATAAATCCCATAAGAAAAATCAAGTAGTAAAAATAGGTAAAAGGTTCCATTTCTTCAACAACGTGGCATTGTGAAACATTGCTTGACATTGTAAACTTGTGCGAGTTGGTTTTGCTGCTAGAGGATCTCAAGAACCTGCAAAGAGAACCAAGACAATGTCAATGACATCAACTTTTCCTGAGAGTCGGTAGTTATTCTCTGGGAATATTGTTTGATTAATGTAATGGAAAAAAATGCAATTTGGAAGACATATTTTTATCTCTCTTCATGCTGCTTCACAGATATTCAAGAGGGTTTTGTTCTTAAAAAGTTTAGAAACATGTTAGGGTTTGTTCATAAAAGCATACAAACTAGTAGAGTAGTCTTTCTGAGTTTAGTTCAGTATGTTTGGTTCAACAGTGCCCTCCTTCCCCTCCTCCAACCAAACCACCAAAATAAAAGCTTGAATCTGTCTAAAATTAAGCATCTGGTTAATAACGGTCATACTAAAACTTAAGAACTTTTGAACAGTTAAAACTAGGCTTAAAAAAGGGTAAGATTTGTAGCAGTCTTGTCCTATTAAAAAGTACTAGGAGTTTCGAAGTTCATGCACTGTCAAGCCAATATATGGATACGTCAGATAGATGAACAAATAGTTCTAATTCAGTCCTAAATTTTGCAAATTGCACTCTCTTCCTATTTGAACAGAGGATAAATTAATTGCTTATTTTTAGGAAGTCTTTAAAAAACAGCACTTTTTGAAAGAAGCAGCTATTAAATAATTTTGCTTACTTTTTAGGCTTCACTTGAAATTATAGAGAAGAAAAGTAAAAAATTTTGATCCTATTATATTAAGTATACTACTCCATGACTGAGGGGTTCTTTTTGTTTGTTTGCTACACTGTCGGGCTGCTGTGTGGAATGTCTGTGGAAAAAGAGGCATGGCGCATTCATTAGAATTTCTTGGAATGAAAACCAGTGCATTTATGTCTTGCATAGCATCAGGCTGCAACGGTTTTTTATTTCATTATATTGCTTCTAATTTTAGTACACAATATAAGAGAACTGTATATGCACACTTTTTTTTTGCTGTAAAATGTATATCGAGATGTGAATGATTCGTAAACCAAAATGATTGCAGATACTCCAGTGCTGTAAAATGGGGGACAAATCAGTTAATTTGTTTCTTGCAGATGGCCTTCCACAGATTGTCTCTGTTGCCCTGAAAACATGCAAGAGTTGAATTAAGCCTGGGTCGGTGCAGTGTAAGTGAGGAGCAGGCAGTGCTGTTGGTGCTGGGGGCTAGCTGCTGCTGTCCAAGGCAGTGGGAGCTTCCTGCATTGTGGCACAGTGCAGTCCTGCTCGGCCTTCATGGGGTGAAGAGGCAGCCCAACAAACTGAGCTCTGAAATCCTGCTGGAACTGGAGCCTCTGTGGGTAGAGTGGGACTGCAGCCAAGTGACACTGACTACAGGCAAAGCATGGGCTGTCTTGATAAATACCTGAGCCTGACTGTACAGTTGTCATAGTTAGTATTTCAGGCTGTGTATTTATGCAGATCTAGGAAGGCTGGAACAAAGACTAAAAGCACGTACCTGTCTTAGCAGTCTCTGGGGTCTTCTGAGCATTAGCCTGCAAAGGTCTGATGTCGCTTGGAGACTGCTCTCGCAGTCCAGTAGAGTGTTAATCTTTTCCTCTGTCTGTGTGTGGTGTTTTTAAAGATGTGTCTGTGGTTTCTAAATGTGCTGACTGACGCAGTTAAAACCAGCATTCAAATAATGTGGAAGTTACCTAAAAGAGACGTGTCAGAAAAATGTGAGTGTTCACGGAACAGCCCAGAGAGACTGCTTTTCCTGTTTCTCAAGCAGGAGGTGGTGGTGGGGTGGGAGGCATGCTGAGGGCAGTGCCTGCTGCACACTCTACCTGTGTCCTGCAGCTGGGAGCTGCTCCTTGGGCGTGCAGTGCTGTGCAAGATAGAGTGGGGAGTGATGGGGAGGAAGGTGGCTGTGAAAGAGCTGGGTTATGCATGGTAATGTGGCTGGTAGCATGTAATGTTATAGGATCGGTTATTATGAATCAAAATATGTTGTGGAAAGTGGTCAGAGTTGCTTGACCTGTCCACATCGGAGAGCTGATGGGAATGGTTGACTGATATCAAGCAGACCAGAAGGTAGTGCAGGCTTCACTCCCTTCTGCTAACCTCAAGCCTGAAGGTTTAGGTGTTTATCATGTGTTCACAGATGTTGAGGGTGATAAGACATGGATGGTTTATAGGCCCTAGCACATGGACTTCTCACGTAGTTCCTAAAGCTTCATC